AATGTGGCTAAGACGAAGGACATGCGACAGTACTATTATGTTCGTCTACTACACGTGCGAGTAACTTTCCGATAAAAACGTGATTAGTATCAGCAATAATTTCTAGTACTGCATGGAGAATTGCGTATTATTAGTTGTTATCAGACATATTCTTGTCCAGGATTTTTTGAACAATTAATGTCTCATATTTCCGAAAAAATATTCGAATACTAGTTGGGGCATAGACCTTAGAATATCTATTAAGGTCTATGGTTGGGGTGAATATGAATTAAATACTTAGTATCCATATGATCTTTTGAAAAATCAGCGAAACAGTTCACAACCACGATTATGGTGAATTGGCGAATTTTCGACAAAGACAACGGCTCCGGTCAGTCATGAGTTTGCTGTGTCATGAAGTCAACATTTTACAATGTTGAACACTACTTTTAGTTCTTGACATTGTGAAATTATTTCGATTTTTGGGAGAAAAAAAAAAAAAAACTGAAAAATAAAAAAAATATTTTGACAAGATAATTCAGAAAATTATATTAAGATTAATTCATTGCACCCATAAATTATTTTCATAATTACTGATTACACACGAATATTACAGGAAAAAAAGAGAATTTGCTATATCCTTGTTTGCACGTCATGTTCACAAAATTATTTGTAAGGGGTGCCCTTTGAAATGGCAAATTTTCTCGATGTTTTAGCGAGTACTCCGCCGGGTATAGCGGCGAATTCTCGCACTAGCATAACTTTGCTCGAGTTTACTCATCGATTTCCCACATGCGCAATGCGTTTTAAAATAGCATAATTATATTGCGTGAGTGACTGGTGAGACTGTTTCACAACGCGTTCTATTTATTTCCAACGCGCGTGGCCGGCGCATTTATTTTGTATTTTTATTTTCGAAATGTAGCACTCGCTGCGTTTATTTTGTTATGTCTCGCAACTGAACGTCCAAGCTGACTTTGTTTTGGCTGTACATGTAACATTAAAAAAAAGTACTACATAGTACCACACTGCTGATACGTGTCAGTATTTATTACTTTATTTATTAAATTATTACTTTATTTTAGACTTCGGGCTCCCCAATGAAGCCGCGAAAGGTGCGTTCCTAGATTCTGCTGAGTCAGACCATGGAGTGCCTCCTTTTTGGCAAATATTCCTCTTTGATAGGGCAATTTTCGTCGACAACATCAGATTGAAATTTGCCGCCTTGTTTGAACAAGTACCCCGGAAGTACTATTGAATAGCCAATTAGAACATTGACACGTGCTGAATAGCGCCACCTGTGTTGACACAATGCAATTAGAAGTATCCATGTCCCGACCAATCAGATTTCATATATAATTAACGGCGTATTCCCATTACCTGCCTCTTTGAGCTTGCGCGTAGAGGCGGGGACCAGCCAACTTCAAACACAAATTTGATTATCGTTATTATGTGATAGTTTCTGTTGTTTCAAAGACTGAATTATGTATGACAATAATATTTCACTCTATAAACAATATTTCACTAAAATATGTGATTCAAAGGAAACCCAAAAGCAATATCAAGTTCCGCGTATAAATACTGTTGTAAAGAGGCGGCGGAGCGGAATTTTAGCCAAAATCGGCTAGTAAGGCGTCATATGACACAGGTTTGTACTGGGACAGCGCTTCCGGTGACGACACAACGTCGTCACTTGGGACTCAATTCCCGCGCGTGCGCAAGTGACGACCCTCCCGCTTTAATAAACATATATAAAAAAGGGGAAAGGGGTCTATTCATTTTGGCTGTTTTAAAAG